GGGGGTTGGGCGACGGTTGGGGCAGTGGTGGGGGTTGAGCGACTGTTGGGGCGGTGGGGATAGGGACTGGGGTGGTTGTGGTGTTGAGGGTTGCAGAGATATTTTGGTGTGGGGGCAGGGGTATTTTGGGCAATGTAGCCCATTAGTCAACTTCCACTAAAAATGAGCAAAAGTCAAACTGGGAATTTAAAATCCGGACGGAGGGAGTATTATAGTGTGCTTTCGCAAAATATATAATCAAAGTAAAAAAAATATGTTCTTAACAATGAAGCTAACACTTACCATGAATTTTAAAGGAAAATTAAAGTCTCTTTGTAATATAAATATGAACTTACTAAATAATCTTTTACGCAATTTAAAATTGTTCAGAATGAAATTAACTTTATATTTTTCATTTTATGAATGAATAATATAGTTACGTATTTAGATTTTGAAAATTCAGATACATAAATGAAATCAACTTTCTTTTTTTAAATGTGGATAGATATTTAACCTCAAGAACTAAATACAAAAAATTTGTTACATTTTAAAAATATAGACAAGTAAAGAGAATATTGTTGTCTACTATTTGCTAAAGCGATTGGAGTGTTGATGTGCCAACCGGATGGAGTCGAAGAGACTTGTAAACCACGAATTATATTTAATTAAAAAAGGATGTTGGTGGATGACTCAAATTGCGATCCGGCTTCTAATACTTGTGTCATTGCTAGGTCGCAAAAAATTAAAGATTTATATTTTTGGGAGGAAGACAATCAAGTAAATTGATCAAATCTTAAATTTGACCTAAATTTTGATTGCAAGAGTCGATAGAAAATAATTTTTATGATTTAATACGTATAAAATTCGTAAATACATTTGGGGTAAAATATGTGTATTACACGTTTGTTGCATGAAAAATCATATTCGAGAGTATAATACACATATTATATATACGGGTGCATAATATTCATATTATACGTGAATAAGCTAACAGAGTGTCATACTATGAAAATTGACGTAATTGAAGTGACACATGATGTAACGCCCCGAAAATAGGCTTATCAAAATTAATTAACTAATAATTAACTAATTACTAAGATAGACCTAAAAATAAGTGATTTACAAAGTTTGTCAATTAACTTTGAAAATTATCTCGTTGTGTAGGGTTACGGTTTTTTGTGTTTTAATGATGTTTGACTGTATGGTCGCAACGGTGCAATCAAATTTTAATTTGGAGAAAGTCGGAACAAAAAGTGTATCTTGATAGGGACCAATATAGTCCCAATCAGGGAAGAGTTGTGAGAATCAGCAGAATCGTCGTTCTCTCCACTATGCCGATCGACTGCACATTAGGAGTAGGAGCTCCTTTGGCTTCACCTTCTCCTTCTTGCTATTTAAGGAGAACCCAACTCTCTCCATTCTTCACCAAATTCTTTCATTTCTTTTTCTATTCAGTTGCTCTGAGTATGGAGAACACAGTGGTGCTGTTCGTAGAGCTTGAGGTCGCCGGAGTTGGCCATAATATTCGCTGAAAACTTTCGAAAACCTTCATCTAAGCTCGTGGTGAGCCCTTAGATATACTGATTAGAATGTTCATATGAATCATTTTTACGTTCATAAAAGATCACTTGTTTTAGTAATGTGCTATAAAAATAGAAAATACATTTTTCATGAACCAAGAATCATAAACATTCAAATTGTTGTTAAAGCTTCGAATAAATTGTTAAAAAATGTTCTATGCATATTAGAGAATATTTTTATATAGTTAAAATGAAGTTTAAAAGCTTAAAATTGTGTTTTGGAAGTTTGGACCGAGGTTGAATACGTACTGTACAAAACTTTCACAGAAACTGTACTTGGATACCGCCCTGACGGTACAGAGATACTGCCCGGACAGTAGGCCATACCATCAGTGACGGTAGCTAGCTACCATCACAAGCTGAATTCCTCTGGCGGTACCTGAGACCAGGCGGTAGCCTATGCTGTCTGGACAGTACTAAGGTACCATGATAGTACACTCGCACCGAGAAAGGTACCGTATAAACCAGATATTTTTCCCACAAACTTGATTTTTGAGCTGTAAAATTCTATTTTTGATACAATCCAACCATAAATCAGTATGAATATCATTTCCAAACTAAATATGATATTTTTGATAAAGTCAAGAACCTTATTTATGCATGAAGGTAAGCTAGGGTGTTAACACTCGATGTCAGACCGCTATTTGTTGATTATTGATTATGATGATAGAACCTTGATAAAAAATAAATTTTCTGATTTAAATGATGATTATGAATGATTCATGCTATCTAAAAGAACTCTAAGATAGACCCAATGTGACCAATTTAGTTAAGCCATGCAGATATGATGTCTGATGGCTCGGGTTAAAACGTACGTACGGAATCCATAAACAAAACTTGAGTATCTATTCGTTTAGGGGTATCACCCAACTCAACAGTAAGTAGTCTGATGTTCAGGGTTTCTGCCTTAAACTAATTATAGTTTAAGAGTCTGATTACCAATATAAATTTACCTTAAACTAATTATTATAGTTTAAGAGTGTGGTAATCAAAATAAAAAAGGCATAAACTAATTATAGTTTACGAGTCACATTATCAAAATAATTAACCTTATATTTAGAATAGTTTAAGAACATTGTGATGAATTTGGCCTTAGACTAAAAATAGTTTAAGACCACTCTCGACATTATAAACATTGAATATTTAAAGTGAACAATATGTGCATGATATCTAATGATTTAATTATGAATTGAGATTC